TAGGGATCCAGAGCTAACTGGATCCAGGCCTCACCCCCAAGTCTACTAGTCTCTGCACCTCTAGGCAAAGCTGGGAGCTCCTACCAGTCACTAGTCCGCTCTTGTGTCTTTCCAGGTTGCACCACCCCATCTGAGCCCATTACACCAACAACTCTTGCTCCCAGCACTGGGAGCGGGAGCGGGAGCGGGAGCGGAAGTGGAAGTGGGAGCGGAATGCCATCTTTTGATGACTCATATTTTAAATATGTTATATAACAACTTTACACAGAATGGAATATAGCTTTCAAATATAAAAGGCCTTTGTGAATGCACCTTCTGGCACTGCCTGAATGGAATCACGTACCAGCAGAACTGCCAGGTCGGGCTTGTCTTTGACCCCAGCTGTTCTTGCTGCAACTGGCCATAAACCTGACCAGTCTCCAATCCCTAGGGTTCTGAACAGTCGTCTTTCTTTATCTTGCTTCTAACTGGAGTTCGGCAATAAAATCCATCAGTCAAAACACAAGTGGCCTTGGTGTAAGTGATGTGGGTGGAAACCTCTCTAGATGTGAAAATGCAGGCTGTGCAAAATGGAGTGGAGGGGTGGAAGCGAGTGCGTGAGGACGTGGTGGAGATGACACACAGTGCTCTGTCTGCCTGCGTGGATCGGCATGAAGGCTGGAGGCTGTCTGGTGGAAAGGTCTGAAGGTTTGGTGCTGGAATGGGATGTGGACATGACGAAGATCGGTCTGTCACCTAGTGACTGTCCTCAGGAAGGAGCCAAAGTGATTCCGTGAGATTAGAGGGCACAGGCCTGCTGGGCTCACTCAGAGAGCAGAAGACCAGGGTATTCTCTTAACGTCTCCTAGGTCCCCAAGCTAGTCCAGCACCTTCTGGATTGGCAGCTTTGGGAAGACCTGTGCAGTGGACTCCTTTTGGGGTGTCTGCCCAGCCCATGGGCCAGCAGTGTCCCTTTCTCAGGAGACTGCCCCCCTCCTTGAGCCCATAGTGGTGGTCACCTGCTACTGTGCTTGCACTGCATCATGTCCTCCCCTGGCTTAGCTGGTTGACTGGGGTGGACATCAGCCTCCACAGGGCCAATCAGATGATCGCCTCTTGGAATATGCAACAGGGAACAAGGGCTGGTTATTGGTTCCTGAGAGTGTCTGTGCCTGTACTGTGTCAGCTCTGGAGCTGTAGTGAGAGACTGAGAATGGAAAGTTGCCCTGGACACAGAGCAGGAACACTAATGGGGAACTACATAGGAAAGGCACCATGGAGAAAGAACATTTAGCAATGGCTTTCCAACTGGATTCTAGCTCCTTCCTGAGGCCCAGACGCATTTCTGCCTGTGGACTCTGTGAAACTCCCCCATAACTACATGGTAAATTCTTTGCTGCTTAAGATGGCTCAAGTTTCTTTCTTTTACTTGCAACTAAAAGAACTTTGACTAATAAAAAGGAATGCAATGGCTCCTGTTTTTTCCTGGCATGCTTCCTATAGGTCAAACTCTGTTTTAACTGTTTTTCGTGTATTTACTCATTTAATTCTCCCAGCAACCTTGTGAGGAATATACTAGTAATATGAATTCCAGGAGACTGAGGCACAGAGGAATTAGGTGACCTGCCCAACACCACACAGCTAATAAGGTGCAGAGCCAGATCCAAAGACAAGCCAGCTGGTTCCAAAGTGTCTGCATTTTACTGCCTCCTTTGGCACAGACCTCCATGTCCTCGTGGTAAAAGGCAGCATTCTGGTAGTGATGAGGCACACACTCGCAGCCTTCTGAGTAATGACCATTCATGAGCTCACAGCAATTACTGATATTTATTTATTTTCTTCTTCTTCTTCTTCTTCTTCTGTTCCAAAGTGTCTGCATTTTACTGCCTCCTTTGGCACAGACCTCCATGTCCTCGTGGTAAAAGGCAGCATTCTGGTAGTGATGAGGCACACACTCGCAGCCTTCTGGGTAATGACCATTCATGAGCTCACAGCACTTACTAATATTTATTTATTTTCTTCTTCTTCTTCTTCTTATTATTATTATTATTATTCTTTTGGGGTAATCCTCACCTGAGGATATTTTTCCATTGATTTTTAAGGGTAGTGGAAGAGAGAGGGAGAGGCAGAGAGAAACATCGATGTGAAAGAAACACATCAATTGGTTGCCTCCTGCATGCAACCCAACCAGGGCCCAAGCTTGGGAGAAGCCTGCAATCAAGGTACAAGCCCTTGGCTAGAATGGAATCCGGAATCCTTTGATCCGCAGGCCAACACTCTATCCACTGAGCCAAATTGGCTAGGGCCTTACTGATTATTATGTGCCAGCTTATGTTCTAGGTACTAAAGACAGTGGTCAAGTTTGCATTTTAGTGTAACTGAGCTGGGAAGCCATTAGAAGGGCATAGCAGGGATGGAGGGGTGATGACAATTCAGCATTGATAAAGGGGCGCTGGAATATCGTCACAGAACACAGGGAAAAAATGCTCACTATGATTGCAGCCAATGCATCGACTTCTGAGCCCTCGCATGACATGTCTTGGAGGTTGAAGACATAAAAATGGGAGACTAGGGTCCTCAATGAGTAGGTGAAGGCAAGAGTCAGTAAAATTGGGTATTGTTATAAATATAATTACATTTCTAGCCAAAGAATGGCAAAGCCTGGAGAAAAATTCACCTCTATGAGGACATGGATTTCTGTGCAGTGCTCTTTTCCCACTGCCTAAAGGAGTGTCTGACATATTATAAGAGTTTAAAAGGTCCTTGTTAAATGAATAAATCAAAGAAGGCAGAAAGGGAGATAGGAGCTAACAAGCTCCTAGCTAACAATATCCATAGTGTTACGGGTGAGGAAGCTAAGATATTGGGTGGGAAACTTGCCCAAGATCATGTAGTTAATAATTAGCAGAGCTGCTTTTCAATGTTAGGCCTTCCCGGCTCCCTTTACACCACAATGTGCTGGTTCCAAGAGAGTCATGTCACAAAGACCTAAGAGGGGACTTCGAAGGTGGGGCTATTGCTTAGCAGCCAGTTTAGGTTCTGGCCTTCATTTTCTTGGTTGAAGTCCACTTATGAGAGTAGTGACTCATGGAGCTTAAGCATAAGAAAAAATGGACTTTAGAAAGTATCTTGCAGAAGGAGGTCTTCTCCAGAGACTCTTCTTGGAATTCTTCCACGACCTCACTACCCCGTCTGCCTAAGAAAAGAAAGAAGAAAAAGGTGGTCACCCATCCATTACTTTGGAGCTTCGGTGATCAAATTTCGAACAACAGTACGTTGTGAAAACTCATTCTTTCAATGTTGATGTCTAACTGGAAAGCGGTGGGGCATGCACAGGATTCCATCAGGACCCTGATCTGGGTTGGGGGTGGGGAAGTGTTCCTCTCACCAAGTCATGAGCTTCGACACGGGGTGGCACCCACCCAGATGCAAGGGCACTGGGTTTTTAATTTGTAGGAAGGTACCCTTGGAGTTAGCTGTAGCCCTGGGCATGGAGGTGATGGATGGGAAGTGCCTTGGACATTTGTTAAATTCCAATTATAGGTCAGTGCCTTGCTGTGCAAGATTGTCCCATGGTGTCTCCTACATTCCATGGCAGCCTTAAGAGGCATGAATGGTTAGGGCCATTTTATAGATGAACCAAGGCTCAGGGAGATTGGGTAACTTCCACAAGGTCACGTTGCTAGTAAACGACTGACTGGGCCCTATTGGGAACCAGTTCTGAGTGGCTTCAAAGCCTATGTTCATTCTTCTCCCCCGGGAAGAGAGTGGCTGGTATTTAAGGAAGACTGGAAGGTGGGACTGAGAAAGTTTATTTTCCTCTCTCCCAAACTGGACACATCCGTCCTCTGGCAGAATCTGGGTCATGGGTTCTCAATCCTATTCAGACCCAAGTCCTGCTTTGAGTAACAAATTATTTGTAACATTTTGAAACATTATTTTGCAATTATTTTATCCTAAAATCAAATTCATGGGTAACATTACTTACCACATATAATTTCAAAAACAACATAATGCCATCATTTTAATGTAAAGGAGAAAAATAATTCTTAATAAAATGACATATAAATGCTCAGATATGACTAAGTTTTTTGTATGTGTTTTATTGACTTTAGAGAGAGAGAGGAAGGGAGAGGGAGAAAGGGATAGGATAGAAACATCCATGATGAGAGAGAATCATTGACTGGCTGCCTCCTGCACATGTCCCGACTGGGGATGGAGCCCACAACCCAGACACCTGCCCTGACCGGAACCGAACTGTGACCTCCTGGTTCCTGGTCTGACACTCAACCACTGAGCCACATCGGCCAGACACATTTGACTACTTTAGAAGACAATGAAGTAGTCGGACTCTTGCACCATATAATGACTAACGAATAAGTATAGAATTAAGAGAGACGGTTAGATGCCATTTCATAGAAGCAGTGTAGGAAAATAAAAGAGCAGAGTTGTGGCTCAGTGGTTGAGCGTTGACCTATGAAACAGGAGGTCACGGCTCAATTCCCAGTCAGAGCACATGCCCAGGTTTCGGGCTCGGTCCTTAGTGGAGGGCGTGCAGGAGGCAGCAGGTCTATGATTCACTCTCATCATTGTTTGTATCTCTCTCCCTTCCTTCCTCTCTGAAATCAATAAAAAATATATATTTTTTAAAAAAATAAAAGAGCAGAATTATAAATGGACACCTTCATCCCTAGGGTTTATTTCTTTAAGGTTCCAACGACAAGCCCAAGGTGTTTTCCAGTTCTCCCTCCTCCAGGGTCAGCCTAATTGTTGCCCCCCAGCTTTCAGACACTGTGCAAAGTTCTGCTCAAGTCTTCTGCATTGCAGCCAGCTTTTTCATTAGCAGATATTCAGAGGGAAGAGCAGCACCAACTGCTGGGTTCAGCACTGTGGGCTTCCCCTCTGTCTGGGAGCTCGGGTCTGCATGTTTTTTTCTTTTTTCTTTTTTAAATGTATTTCTTTGTTGATTTCAGAGATGAAGAGAGAAGGAGAGAGAGATAGGAACATCAGCGATGAGAGAGAATCATTGATCGGCTGCCTCCTGCCCCCCCCCTACTGGGGATCGAGCCCACAGCCCAGGCACGTGCCCTTGGCCGGAATCGAACCTGGGACCCTTCAGTCCACAGGCTGACGCTCTATCCACTGAGCCAAGCCGGCTAGGGTGCATGTTTTTTCTTGCTTGGTATATCGCTGATGTCTTCAAATATTTTATTCAGTCTAGCTTTTTTATCTCTTCTCAGCCAGAGGATTAGTTGGAAGCACACCAATTGCCAACGAGGAAACAGGTTGTCATATGTTCAAAGTCCTTTGTAAGACATGTTTCATGTCACTAAAAGGAAAAAAAATAAACACGAATTTCAAATACATGGTGGGTACCTACAATATTGATTTTACCTGAAATATTAATAAAAGTGAAAGTTATCGAGCAATGCCAAGATTTCTTTACATTTTCTTTACCATCAGTATTATTGCAATTTGAGTAGACAGAATGCTTGGAGGAAATTATACAATAACTTTGAGATGGAATCTTTGTATCTCATAATGACCTTCTCCTATCTTACTGGGCTGTCTGCATTATTTCTTATTTACAAAACAGTTTTGATTTTATATGTAAGTACAGCCAATTATTTGCAGAAATGCCCAGCAGTGTCCAGCAGGACATTGAATGTTAGGTAGGACATGAGACTGGGCATGGCCAGGTGTCCAGCCTCCCTGGCCCATTGAGCAGGGGCATCCCTCCAATAATTCTCAACAAATCAAATGCTCCATGTGTGTCCCCAATATCCTCCAGGGCTCAGTATCACTTTTTTGGAAACCCTACCTTAGATTTGTAAAACCATCCTCGGCATACAATACTAGCCCAGTAAGCCATCATGCAGGGTCATCCTTAGGGGCCAAAGGGTGGATGGGCCACGCGTTCGGTTGCCTCCTACACCTGACAATTCCTAAAGCCATCCTAAAGGCAAGTTAGTAATCATATCCAGATGAAAGCAAGTTAGTGATCATACCCAGGACGAAGGTAAAGAACTCAACACACACCTTGATCCTTCTTGGCTGAGGATGGGAGGGAGTGCTGCTGAGCCGGCTGGAGATGGTCTTCAGCAATAATCACCTCTTGCCACCTACCAGACACTGGATTGCTTTAGTTCTGTTATCTCAATCCTCTTCACGACCGTGTCAAGAAGAATTCTTATCATTCTCAATGTAGAGATGAGGAAACAGGGACTTGACATTTAAGTGACTGCCCACGATTTAAAAACTATTAAAACTTCTTTGATTTTGTTGCTCCTCTTAAGGCTTCCAGCCCTGTTACAACCTTGCGCTCCCTTTTGCAGCGGTTCTCAACCTGTGGGTCGCCACCCCTTTGGGGGTCGAACGACCCTTTCACAGGGGTCGCCTAAGACCATCAGAAAACACATATATCATTACATATTGTTAGTCTGATTAATCACTATGCTTTCATTATGTTCAATTTGTAACAATGAAATTGGGGGTCACCACATGAGGAACTGTATTAAAGGGTCGTGGCATTAGGAAGGTTGAGAACCACTGCTTTAGGGGGACAAGGAAACCACCTGATGGGGAAAGGGCTTGAGGAACAGGAAAAGGGGGCCTAAGAGGGGCTAATAGGGTCCCCAATTCCCCTGCTCGGGTTGCCCTGGGAGCGCACCTCCATAAGCTATCACTGCAGCGGCTGCTACTAGTCCCTGGTCCTAGTACCCCCCCATTTCCAGGCATTCTGAGCCCCAGTGTCCCCTCTCTCCTCAGCACATTCCCAGTGGCCCTTGGGCCCATCCTTCACCCCCGCCGCCCTAATAGTCACGGGTCCAGCAAAGCCATCTACCGCCAACCCAGCTGCAGAGTCCGCATTCCCCTGGGCTCCGGTCCGGGAGGAGGTGCGGGTCCGCCCTGTAGGTGGCTGGCTTCCAGGGCGGGCGCTCCCACTTGCTGCGCAGGCGCAGGCGAGCTCGGAGCAGAGGCCCGCGAGGCGTCCATTCCCTTGGCAACGCAGTACACAAATACTGACCCAAACTAGCGGCAGGATGGGCTTCAACAGAGGGGGTGAGGAGGACTGCGGTGAAGGGGTGTCGCGTACAGGGGAGGAAGACTGGGGGCGGCTGGGAAAGACGGAGTGGAGGAAAGGCCGTTGGGTCCCCTTCATGGACTTTGGTCTGGGTTTTGCTAAGAGCTCCGCGAGACCCTGTCCTCTGCTCAGCCCCCCTGTGTCTCCCCGCCCCCTCTCAGGCACTCCCTTCGGTCCCTCAAGTGGCCCTTCTCCTCTTTCTTGACCGTCAGGACCTGTGGTTCAGCACCCCTTCGGAACAGGAGAAGAGAAGAAGATCTTTCCTTACTTCCATCCGCACACCCTTTTGGGAAACAAGTTTCTCCCTCTTAGGGGAGCACCCCACATAGGGCCAGGATGTTACACAACAGATACTGTGAGTATTCGCCTTCCCTGAGGTGTGTCTCCAGTTCCCCATCGATTTACAGATAGCCAAGTTCAGTGGAAGGAAAACTATAGAATGTGTGAGCTTCAGGGTCCCCAAATGAGAAAGTGCCCTTGTTCTCTGCAGCCAGCTGTCAAGGTCAATGTCATAGATTAAAGGACCAGTCCTCCCCGCTCCCAGCCTCCATCCAACACAAGCCTTTGCTTCATAGAGTTAAGAGGATAGCCCTCACTCCATTCCCACCTCCAAAGACTTGTGAACCAATGCCAGTTACCCACCCATTAGACCAGGCCTGGATTGTAGATGTGCTGGTAGGAGCGTTCATGAAATAATATGATCAGATACACTTGCAATTAGAGCAAATCCAGCTCTGTGGTCAGAGGACTGGATTCGCTGGAAGGCAAAGAAATGTTACTTACTCCGCCTTACCCAGGCACATTCCCCTGCAGAGTTACCTGTTACTCATGTCCTTGTTTCTATGGTCTTGAGTCACAGAAGTCAAGAAATCAAGAGAGAGCAACTCCTGCAGAGAGACCCAGGTTCTAAGTCCATGCTGTTTTCATGACAATAACATTCTCTGTGTTTTTCTTTCTTTGTTTGTTTTAAAAAACATATTCTACCCGAAGAGGTATGACTGGGTATACAACCTCTCCAAAATCCCGACCAGTAAAAAAGGATATACTTTGGGAGCCAGAACAGCCATGAGGTTTAAGCCGAATAAGGTTAGAAATGGTTGCATGCACTTCAGTTTTTGTGTGATCCATGGTGTTGTATTTGCATTGGGAAGCACAGGGCAGTGAGTGGGAGGTTACCTAAACAATATGCTCTGAAATTAAAGAAATATAGACATTTAGGCAAAAGCCATTAAGCCTATCTGAAAAGCTTGGGCTAATGCATTGGAAATGTGTGTGTGTGTGTGTGTGTGTGTGTGTGTGTGTGTGTGTGTATTTTGATAAATTGTAAAACCAGAGAGAGAGAGAGAGAGCGAGCGAGAGAGAGAGTCTGGGAGAGTGAGAAACAATTAGGAGAAGTGGTACCAAATTAGAGTTTCAGTGGTGACTGAGACACCTGATGTTAAAGTACTGGAAGCTTTGTTTATATGCATCAGATTATCTTGTCAGTTAGAAAAACAGCCCACCCTGTTGTGGCTCAGTGGTTGAGCATCAGTCAATTCTGAGTCAGGGCACATACCCAGGTTTTGGGCTGAGTCCTGAGTAGAGAGCGTGCAGGAGGCAGCCAATCAAAGATTCTCTCTCATCATTGATGTTTCTAACTCTCTCTCCCTCTCTCTTTTTCTCTGAAATAAATAAAAATATATTTTAAAAAAAAGATCCAGTGCACCAAAAGGTTGTCAGATTCCCAGCCACATACCTGGGTTCTCTCCTTCTTCCTTGCTCTTAATTCAATAAACATATTCTCCGATAAAGACTAAAAAGAAAACAAGCCCAGCTGGCGTGCTCAGTCATTGAGCATCAACCTATGAATCACGAGGTCATGGTTCGATCCCTGGTCAGGGCACATGCCCAGGATGCAGGTTGCAGACTCAATCCCCAGTGGGGGGCGTGCAGGAGGAGGTTGATTTCTACAACCTAAGCAGGATGCATTTTTAGGTAGTTGAACCACACCTATCTTGGCTTTCTACCTATCATAGGCCTATTTCTGTAGCTTGAGATGGTTAAACCATAGCTGATACATGAACCAGAAGAGGATGAGTCGGGAGGGGGGGCGGTGCTTGTGTGTGTGTGTGTGTGTGTGTGTGTGTGTGTTACTTACAAGGCTTCAGATGTATACCTGTGTATCATCTTCTAACATATTGATCTTTTTCTCGGAAACAGGATCTGACACCTCACCCAGGCACGTACCAGACAATAAATCTTCAGGAGGGAAAACAAAAACAGAGTTCTGCTCCATTTAATGTCATGTTGCCTCGATTTATATCTCACTCAAAGGACATGAGTTATCCTGGGTATGTCTCCTCTTTTCTGGGGCACTTCAACAGAAAGCGATAGGAAAGGAAGGGCAGGTACAAAACCACTCATCTTTAAGATTCAACCTCTTTTGCCTCCCAGATCTCTGGCATCACGGAAGTGTAAATCATAGTGATTCGTTTAACGAGTATTTATGAATGTGCCAGGCAGTTCTGTGGGTTCCAGAGATGTTGCATTGAACCCATCACACAAGGCTCCTGATTTCTTGGAGCTTACATTCTAGAATCCAGACAGATGAGGAGCAAATAAGAAAATATCAACAGTAAGAAGGAGAGTGGCCATATATGTATTAGTCTGACCGTGACACATTCGAGAGTTAAAGGGGACCTTATGAATAACTATACCAAGACAGTAGCCATAAGCCAAGACTGTTATGAGCAAACCAAGCAGAACGGTGACCTGGCAATGTGCTATGAGGATGATAAAACAGGATGATGATATAATGCTGAGTGACGGATTGACTGGAGGCTACTTTATCAAGGGTTGTGGAGAGAAGTCTTTCTGGGAAAGTGAGTGACACCTAATTAGAAAGACATTAACAGCTGAAGGTGCTTGCACAACATTAAAAACCTGATCAGTCTGTTGCCTGTTATCAAGAAGTTAGACCTAGTTCAAGGACAGCTTACTGATGGGATTCACAAATAGTCACTAAGTCATAGACATCACGTTACATGTTTTGATTTCTAGCCCTGACATGTACAACCCGCAGATAAAGCCACCCGCAAAAGTCACCTGGCCAATGAAATTTGGATCTCCAGACTGGGCTCAGATTCCATGTCTGCAGAAAAGGACCCTAAAAGCTGAGGTAACAACACGGGGCTTCTTTAGAACATTATCTAGTTCTTCCACAGGGGCTCCTAACGGGGAGTCTGTGAATGAGCTTTGGAAAGTCCTGTTCCCCTGAAATTATATGCGCAATTTTGTGTGCATATGCATATAGGAATTTGGGGGAAAGTTGTACAATTTTATTAGATTTTTTAAAAAATATTTTTATTGATTTCAGAGAAGAAGGGAGAGAGAAACATTAATGCTGAGAGAGAATCATTGATTGGCTGCCTCCTGCATGCCCCCTACTGGGGATCAAGCCCCCAATCCAGGCATGTGCCCTTGACCAGAATCGAACCCAGGACTCTTCAGCTACAGGCTAACGCTCTATCCACTGAGCCAAACCAGCTAGGGCAATTTTATTAAAATTTTTTAAAGATGTGCATGTCTGCACAAAAGTTCCAGTGAATCTTATTTAATCCTCAAATAATTTGTGGTAGGTACAGGAGAATTATCCTATATAATAAAAGGCTAATATGCAAATCAACCAAACAGTGGAACAACCGGTTGCTGTGATGAGCACTGACAATCAGGGGGCGGACGCTCAATGCAGGAGCTGCCCCTGATGGTCAGTGTGCTCCTATAGGGGGAGCGTCGCTCAGCCAGAAGCCCTGAGCCAGGCTCATAGCTGACAAGTGCAGTGGCGGTAGTCTCTTCTGCCTCCACAGCAGCACTGAGGATGTCTGACTGATGTTAGTCCCATGGAGAGTGGGCCTAAGCCATCAGTCAGACATCCTGTGAGGGATCCTGGACTGCGAGAGGGCACAGGCCAGGCTGAGGGACTGCCCCCCACCCCCGTGCACAAATTTCATGCACCAGGCCTCTAGTCTGTATATGATAGAGGAGGAAATTGAGACTCAGACAGATTAAGTGATTTGTGCAGGCCACACATGAATCTAGATCTAGATCCATCTAGATTCTAGAGAATGATGGAAAGAACCCTGCTCTTTCCATCATGTCACTTGAGTATTAGATCATCAGGGGGTTGTAGAGCATCCTGTATGAGCATGGATTCTGGGGACAGCTGCCTGGGTTCAAATCCTAGCTCCAGTACTTACTTGATGTATGATCTTGGACAAGTCCCCTACTTTTTCTAAGCCTCCGTTTTCATATCTTTAAATGAGTATAATAATCAATCTGATGAGGTTGTAAAGATTGAGATAAGGTAGAAAAGCATTTAACACAGAACCTATAACATAATAAACGCTCAATACATGTTAGCTACCATAATTCCAAAGGTGCCTTTTATTTCCTAGTGGAAGTTTGGATAAATTTCACAAATACTTATTACATGCCTGAGGTATTAGTATAATTGTGCTAGGGCCTGTAGGTCACATTCAAGAATTGAACATATGATCTTTGTTTTCAAGAAGTTTACCAGTTAACTCTTAGAGATTTACCAACTTAAAAAAAAAAAATTCTCAGCATGATAGACACCAAAGTAAGATGATAAAGAGTCACTGTACATACAAAAGTTGAGAGAATCAGTCCTGGCTGGAGTGGCTGAGTTGATTGGCCATCGTCCCGTGCACTGAAAGGTTGCCGATTCGATTCCTGATCAGGGCACATGCCTGGGTTGCAGGCTCGATCACTCTTATATTGATGTTTCTTTCTGTCTCTCCCTGTCCCTTCCACGTGCTCTCTCTCAAATAAATAAATAGTTGAGAGGATGACTGAGGCTAGATGACTGTGGGGTGGGGGTTAGCTAGGTCAGAACAGCTGCAATGGGCAGCTGTATCTTGCACAGCCAGGAGGCCCAGAGACAAAGGGCTCTCCACATTTGGTCTCAGACAACATTCTCTCCTTGCAGCTGCCCAGCGACAGGGACTTCAAAAGACATCGGAACCGTATGGCCTACTTGAGCCTGTTTTATGGTTCAGGAGCTGGGTCTTCCTTCACATGCTCCTCCTGACCGCAGCATCTCCCCGATGGAGGACGGAGCTGCTCCTCTCCCTCTGCACTGTGTGGTCTGCCCCTCGGCCAGCCTGAGGCCCAGGGAGGGGCAGGGGGCCCTAAGTGCCCCGTGAGAGCATAAAGGCCGGTTTGGTGTTGTTTTTCGGCCCTCACGGCACCTATGTGTAATGTGAAGGTTTCTTTTTTCTCTCTCCAACATTCTGAAGCTGGGGATTGGTCTGGTTCATGTTCTTTTTCGGAATGGAGAGAGGAAAGCGCTGGAGTAGAGTGCTGGGAGGGGGGATGACCTCGGGTGGAGGCCTCCCATAGATCCCACCCCGGCCTCCGTCTGTGCTGAAGCCGGCTGCGCACACACCTGCTCTCCCTCCCGGGTTCTCTCCCACCGCTCAGTGAGCAGACCCCCGGACATAGCTGCTGCTAAGTTTCATTTAGAATAAATGACTAAAAGCAGAACACACACAAAAAGGGCATTTTGGAAGGAACTTCAAAGACGTTTGGAGTTTCCCGATTTATTCGTTGCAGGAAGTAAGACTGTAGTGAACAGAAGGGACCAGGGTAGTTGGAAATGGTGCGGTGAGCCCACAGCCACGCGAGGGCATCCCCAGCCCTGCGTGCGGGGTGCGGACAGCTGCCTCTCGCCGTCTAGGCGGCGAAGGCAAAGCCCACCCTGTTGTGGGCCATGTCGTAGACCGAGTAGTACTCCTTGAGGAAGACGTCCCCCAGGATCCACAGCGGCTGCCCGTTGGGGGAGGGCAGGTAAGTGGCCTCGATCCCCAGCCTGCAGTAGCCGTTGTTCTAAGGGGACAGGGCACACCAGGATATAACCATTTGCTCTATAGAGACCTCCCCCCACCCGAACTTCCCCCACCCTATAGTCCATGGCACCCTCTGGGGTCTCTGAATTCTTGTTCACCCCAGCCCTGCCCTGGGGATTCCCCATAGCTGCCCAGATGTGAGCTGGGACACGGGACTGCTGTAGGGCCCATCCAACCACATATCCTGGGAGTGACCACATACGTTGAGGACATAGGCAGAGGGAGGCAGAGGGAACTGGGACCCGCTGATGGTGAAGGTGATGGTGGGCAAGCTCTCCACCGAGTTGCAGGCGACCACAAACTGGGAGACAGAAAAGGCAAAGCTGTAGAGCGCCCCTTGGAGCCCAGACGAAGAGCGAGCCCCCTTTTCCTGGGTGACTGTGCTTGACCTTGCAGCACAGGCTCTCTCAGAGCGAGGACCGCAAGGCCTGACTCCCGTACAATGCTGACCAGACCCCCCTCTTTCTTCTGGAATCCTCTCCTTTCAGGCATCTCAGCTCTTAGACCTGGGTTGTATCCATATGGCTATAAGGAGCCAGGCTCATTCCACAACAATTTCTAAGCCCAGAAAGTACAAATTACAGAGAAAAGGTGTGGATACACACACACACACACACACACACACACACGCATGCACGCACACACACACACGCACACACACACACACACACCATGGGGGGCCAGGATTTAGTCTGGGCCCAGACTCTCACATACAAGGAGAAGCAAACTACTGATATGTGTGCGAAGAGGAGGAGGGGTGGGGACAGGAGGCTTCTCGGAGTAAAACCCAACGATGTATTCCTAGTGAAGACAGAAACCCACGTGGCATGGGAGAATGCACCGTGCCCTGATGGCATTGCAGGCAAATGACAGTGGCCAGACCAAGCTGACGTGTGTTCCTAAGACCTGCGGCGGGTTAAGAGCGCCTGCCCATGGCCGTTGGTCCCATTCACAGTCTGGCTGGAGTCGGTATTACTCACCCCTTACCCTTCCTCGCGCTGAGGGTTCATGCTGTGTTCCCACCCGATCTGTCCTGCCAGGGGCTCAGGGGCCCACCCAGCCCTTCCTCCTCCCTCTGATGACCTCATTGCCTGAGCTCGGGCTCCTGTGCTGAGCCTGCCTGGCTGTACAGACACTCCCATGGCTTCTGGTTACTCACATCACCGTTCTGAGCCTGCTCGGCTCCTGTCGCTTGCAGGAAGGAGCCCATGTACTGCTGGGGAACTGCCAGCAGAAAAGTGCCCGTATCTACGATGGCCTGGCAGCCCTGGGAGCACCAGCCAGTGGCCTGGTCACCGATGGCAAACCTGAGGGGGACACCAGTACAGAGAGTCAGGCGCGTCTGCTACCAACATGATCAGCCCTCACCCACCAGCCACCCAGCTGCGGCATTCTGGCCCTTCCAGGAAGCAGGCCACACTAGCACCTCTGCCAGGCGTGCTTCTGTGCCTTCCTGGTCACGGAGTGTTGCCCTCAGGCTTGGTCTGGCAACCCCTCCAGCTCTGGCCGAAAGCTCTCGGAAGGCAGGACCTGGATGCCAGAGTCTATCTCAGCCTGAGGGTTTGGTGATTCCTCGAGAAAGCAGTGCCATGCCAGCAACAGGGAATGCTGTCAAGCTGGAGAAACACCCACCCGTGACCCTCACCCACAGGAACTCTCCGCTTCTCTACTCACTCCTGAATGGCAATCTGCCAGTACAGCTCCTGGGTGACAGGGGCCCAGACGATCTGACCGGAATAAAGCTGCTGGTCCACGCCGCCCAGGATGAGCTCTCCACCGTACTGACGGGTTGGTTGGCTGAGAAGGAATGTAACGTGCATGAGTTTCCATAATACAGATGGGTCAGGCGTTCCTCTCCCTCCTCTCCTCTCCCCTCCCCTCCCCTCCCTCCCTCCCACACTGGGGTACGGTAGAACGAAGGGGTGCTCTTCAGATATCACCCGGCTCAAGGTACAAGGGAAAGAAGAATTCTCAGACACCCAATCATTCTCGGAAATAATTATCAGAGAATTGGAAACACAGACTATGTCCATAAAGAAGATGGACTTGGAAATCAGGCACCTGGAAAAAAGCTATAAAAGTACCCCAGACACCCTGCCTGGGGCAAAGCAAGAAACCCCTCCTAGAGCACCCGCATGGCCTGACAGAGATGCCAGGCTGCTGGGAGGAGGGTGTTTCTGTCATGCCCGGTGGGTCACCAGGGAAAGCTGAGAGGATTGGGGTCTGTTGTGTTCGCTACCCTGCACCTGCCAGTCATAGACGAAAGGCATTTGGACTTCAGGTCCCCTGAGGATCGTGTGTGTAGAAAAGAAAAGCAGGGAGTGACGCGAGTCACAAAAGTTCAAGGCCAGAGGGAGAAGGAAAAGCTTTCAAATCAGAATGTTTGTGTTTGAGTCTCGCCTTTACACCCACATTGGGGGAGCTTGCTTAACATTCACAGCTTGTTTGAGCTTCCATTTCCTCACTGGAGAAATGAGGTCAACAACAGGATTTGTAAGATGTCATTTGAAGTCATTGCTACAAGAACCCTTCATAAAGCCAGAGATGCCGTTAAAATTAGCATCTCATTATTGTTCTCTTCACTGGTCAATGTTTATGGCGCTTGTTCTATAGCTCCACAGTTACCCTGATCGCTCACAGCAATCTCCAGGTTTACTGGACAAATATTGAGAGACTACTTATTTTTTAAGAAAAGAGTCATCGTATGGTTTATGGCCACAATTAAAAATCCTTCCAGTGCGTTTAAAATAAAATTCCCCCAGAAATGTGTTTATAAATCTTCAGAAATGCGTAGCAGATTATAGTCACTGAGTCAGAAAACGCGACAGCCTGAGCTCTGACTGAGGTTGAGTTGTCCAAAGCCCCCACGGAGCCTCATTTGCTGACCTCTTCCCGGGACAAGGCCTCTTACCGAGAGAAGTAGAAGCTGAAGATGGGCAGGGTGAGCTGGCCCTGCTGCAGCATCCCCTGCATGACTGTGGGGGCATCGCCCACCGCCATGTTGGGGTAGGCCATCCCCAGGATCCCATCGAAGTCTGAGTAGTAGAAGGGGTCGTTGGGCTCATTCTCGCTCAGGCCAAACTCCTGGTTATTGACGACGATGTTCTGAACCTGGGCCAAGCAGACAGAGCAGCTGAACGACTCAACGTGGACAAATCCTTCCCGGATGTAGGTGCCCAGGGTCTGGAATCTAGAACCTGATCTGGGGGGGAGAAGCTGGCTTCTTTCATGCTGAGCTCGCTCCTGGGTGTGGGTGTGAGAGGTGAAAGGGCAACAGCGTCACCCAACCACGTATGTTTTAGGAAAAAGAGGGGGTGCTGGGGGAGCAAGGGCGGTTGTTTCCTGGAGTTCTAGTTTCCATTTCCACGGACAGCGACCGGTTTTCTATTGAGCAGTCCACGTGCAAAGTCGGTAGAGAAGCTATAGGTGTCGGGCATAAAAACATAAGAAAATGGTGAAAGGGCAGATCTTCAAGTAACCAAGGTGAAGTTGTGTGGAGGAGGAAGCAGACGTTCTGTGTGGTTGCAGAGGGTAGAGTGGAGAGCAGGGAACAGTCATAAGACGACACACAGTTTCAACACAGCATAACGGGCTTTCTGCAACCAGGGCTGCTGTGGAGGCAACTCCTGTCTTGGGAGGAAGGTTGAATGAGACGGCCTTTGATGCCTTTTCCAATTCTCAGCCCCTGGGAAGGTTTGACCAGTAATCGTGGATTTGTCTGAGCGCTTAAGGCTTTAGAAATGGGAGCCAGAGCACAGAACCCCAGAGGCTATGAGAACATCACTCACAGTTACAGTGTCATATCCCAGGACCACACTCAGGCTGCCACTCCCGTAGGACAGTGTGTAGGTCTGCCCATTGTTTCTGAAGGTGGAGGACAGGCTGGGGTTGAACCTGTTGTGATTGGCTGTAGAAAGACAGAATGAAATATTAGCATCGTTCACTGCTTTCAGCATACTTGGAGGAAACATACCCTCAATGGCCCGGGATCATCAGACCAAGTCTGGGATGGGGCTCAGCCTCGGATCCATCACAATATAGACAACCCATGTTAGCCCCAGAAGAGCCTGTCCCCTTAGGCAGCAAACATTGCCCGAATTCCTTTCAACCATCATTCCCTGAGGGATGGGTCCCCTCAAAAATGTCAGGGATTCTGGCCACTGGAGAGAGGAGAGGGGAGGGAAAGGGACAATGTAGAAAGAAGTGAAAGTTTCCGTCTATGTCTGCTGCCTCTCTCCAAAACTGTTGGCAAGACTGAGGACAAGATTTCTAGAGGTTCCTAATTTAAGAAGGAAGAGATCGTGGATATGCACCAAGAACTCTGTACTTGACATTATAACCTGGGCCAATCCTGACTCCGCCCCTTACTCTGCTCTCATCCATGGCAGGGGTGGCATGGCGATATACTCACAGCAGGCCTGGCTCTGGCAATAGGTGGAGGGCACCCACAGATTGGAAGAGCCCGTGTCGAAGAGGACCAGGAAATTTTGGGGTGGCGTCCCAATGCTTATCTCCCCAAAATAGAAAGCCTGCAAAGAAAGGTTCGTCACCCTCATTACGCAGCTTATCCTTGTCCTGAGGGTGGGGAAGAAGCTGACCCACTGGGAGTCACATTTTGCCCAAATCACTCCTTAGGGGAATAAGAGGCTTCTCCCACAATTTTCCCACCCCATGTGTGATTCCCTAAAATGGCTTCCAGCTCTGATGCTCTGTGTAACCTCTTACTAAGAACAGTCCACGGGACACCAGTAAGTCCAGATGCCCTGAGCAGACATCAGAGCCTCGAGAACATTCTAATACTTTCTCTGGACACCAGTGTGTCTTTCCAAAGGAGGCGATTTTCCGTAGTGGCCTTGCACATGTTTTCCTTCTTTTTTTAAAAACTGTGTTTTTTATTGACTTCAGAGAGGAAGGGAGAGGGAGAGAGAGATGGAAACATCAATGATGAGAGAGAATCATTGATCGGCTGCCTCCTGCACGCCCCCTACTAGGGATCAAGCCCACAACCTGGGCATGTGCCTTTGACTGGAATTGAACCTGGGACCCGTCAGTCAGTAGGCTGATGCTCTATCCACTGAGCCAAACCAGCTAGGCACATGTTTTCCTTCTTTCTCCTGCAGCTCATTGCTAGGACTTCCCTGGGGTCTCTCCATTGAATTGAACATTGCCCCTATCAGTCTCTTAACCGTAAAAATGGGGCTTTGGAGAGATGGGCCAGTAATGAAAGAAAGGGGAAATGAAAGGGAGCTATTATCCTATTAGATACTACCAACCCATAATTTATTTAGATACTTTCCATAGGAAAGTGAGACTTGGGTTTAGTAATTAGTCCAAATCAGAGCTAATGAGGGGCATAAATGAGCACTTTTACATGGTTATCAGCCAAGAGATGGACACCCCTCCACCTTCACTCACATCCAAGTAGTTAGTGATGGGCTCGTAAGCAACAGCATCGTTGTTGAAATGATACTTGGCAGCTGGGTCCTCCTTTCGGTGGTTCTTTAGAAACTTCTCCAGGACGCCCTTCTCCTCCATTGTCTGGCGGATAGACTTGCCTTTTTTAAGAATGATTCTGCAGGGAAAAGGGTTAAAAAATGAATGAGCTTCACCTTGCCCCGTTAAAGCAACTTCTCCAATGATCTTTTTCAAATCTCTTCAGTACTCTCTGCTCAGGAAGAGCAAAATACAAGAAATCCTCCTGGATTTTAGCAAGTTCTGACCACTACAGTCATTCTTGGATTCCCAACACAGAAACACACTACATACTATTTGGGGGGTTTTGTGCTTATATCTTGTTTCCAGAGAATAACTGTCTGTTTCTTCCCAGCGCCTGCTATAAGCTTGGGACAGGGATTGTCCATTCTTCTAAACCAACAAAACACTCAACCCACCCTTACGTGCGCGCACACACACACACACACACACCATCCATCCATCCATCCATCCATTCATTTCAAGTCTTGGCTCCCAGTGGGTGTTCAGTTCGTGGTACAATCTGACTGCCTCTCCAAGAGACCTGCAACCCCTTGCTCTTCTCTAGCTTGTCACGCTCCCTTGGAGCTGGAACTCACAGTGAGGCTGCCTCCCAATACACACCTTTCCACACCCTCTGAGAGGTGTAGGCAAACCAAGACCAAGACCAGGATCTTCATGGCGCCGATTTTCACCAACACACAGGACACAGTGACAGACCCAAGCGTTGGGACGCACAGAGGGAGGTCGGGCCCCTCTCTTATACCCTGATCTCCCTGCGCTTTTCATCTCTAGGCACCTGACTTTTCTGCCTGTGTAACAGCCTGTCCCCCTACACTCCCATGGATTCTGTTTGTTTTTCCCTTTGGCAAGCATGACTTTATCTACTCTGTGGTCTATTTAAAAAGCAATTAGTGGCTTTGCTGATGGAATCTAAAGATTAGGCTGTGATAACAAATGTAAAGTTTACTGGAGACAAAAGATCCTGGTGTCGGTGTCGGTGCCTACTGGGAAGTGGGTGCTGGCAACTTCTGCCAGAACAACGGAACAGTTTTGCTCTTTAGCTTCAAAGGGCATGTGCTGCTTTGAAATTTACAGTCTACTCTACTTCTCTTTCTCCTCTCTCTTCCTCTAGTCCCGCCTACAGCTTTCCATAGGTGATTCTCATAGTCCACGACACTCTGCTCCTTATTTTTAGTGTCTCAGTTCACAAATCAGCCAACGTGTAGTGAATACCCACTCTGCTCACCTCCGTAGTGAGCTCTGGAAGTGCAAAGACCATTAAGAAATGGCCCTGTTTATGCAAATATCC